CGAAGATAGGAAGAGACTGGGAGGGAGTAACGAGAGGAGTTATGGTGGCACCAGAAAGTAAAAAGGGGTTGTGGTGGTGGCCAAAGCTAAGAAAGGGCAAAGGGTGACCAAAGTTGGTGGTGGTAGGTGGAAGAATTTGAGAAATGATTAATAATTTTGGTATTAAATGAAGTGTACTTCAAAGAATTTTGAAATAATTTGAAATTTGCTAATGAGTCTAAAGAAATGGTGAAGAAAAATATAGATCCAAAGAAATTGTGTGAAGGTATTTAAAAGCTCCATGATAATTATTTATGGGCATCGAGTCCAAGGTCTATTCCTGAGTTTTTTCAAGTCAATAGATCTAAACTTAAATCTTTTTGGGCTAAAGGAACATTAATCTGTTCAAAGTTTACTCATCTATCTATCTGTCCAAATATCACTTATTTGTAAATGTGTCACCTATCTATCCAATGTGACCTATCTGTCTATCTCACTGCCACTGGCTATTGTTGATCACTAGTGACTTTCTAGCTTTTTTGACAAATTTTTAGGCACTTTTTTGATGACTTTTCATTGTGTTTATCACAAAAATAATAATAATAATAATTTAAATCATGAACCAAATAACATATGGCTCCATTAATGTAAACTTTTCACCAATTAATCCATTATTTATCTTGCTAGTCTATTTTTTTTTTCCTTTTTTTTATAATGTAATTTTTTGTTTAAAAATGGAGAAATTACCACTCATGACATATCTTAAAAAATTATTACACATTAATGAAAAAAAATTTATACTTTTAATTATTAATATTTATCAATTTTTTGTAAATTTTTTTTGACAACACTATTTCCCTTTTAAAAATTACCAGGGAGCAGACTACCAACAGTCTACACTACGGAACTATTAATCCATCAGATGGATATTAATCTTGGGATTTGATGTGCATTCGTTATTTATTTTCTCATGAGATTAGATATTTAAAAAAAATTATTCTATTGAATTCAATCTTTGATTGAAATATTATAAAAAATTATAAATACTCAATAGACTATTTTACTATTTTTAATTGTTTATTAAGTAATAGCAACACTAAATCTGTCTTTAATATTATAATTTTTTTGGCTAGATTAAATAAAAATTTATTTTAGTTTTATTTCTTAAAAATTAAATAAATTTATTTTTGAAATTAAATAAATAAAACATCAATAAAAATTTATGTAATTTTAAAATAAAATTTTAAAAAAAAATTATTTTAAAAATAATAAACATTAAATAATGTAATTAAATAAAATGAATAAAAATTTAAAATAAAACATCTATAAAAATTTATTAAATAAATAAACATCAATAAAAAATTAAAAAAAATTATTTTATTTTATTTTTTAATTGATATTTTTTTATTTCATTTTAATTATATTATATTTTATTAAAGGGATATTGACTAATAAATCTCACATCTTGCACTTGGAGCCATATATATATATTGTGATCTATTTAGTCATATTGGAAGTTTAACAACTCATTTGTCATTATAATCTTATTAATTGTTACTTTTTGTTAAAATGTTACATTGGAGTGTTGCATTTTAGAAAAATACACTAGATTTTTTTTAGAGTGTTCCATTTTTGTTTTTTGAAGCATTACATTAGAGAAAAATATACTAAGAAGCTTTTTATTTTTAGAGTGTAACATTAAGAAAAAGTACATTAAGGAGTTTTTTAGTAGACCTTTTAGATGTACCCAATGTCACTAGGGGTAAGCAACGGATATTCCAATCTGCCCAAACTGACCGAACTGAATCGATGCGCCGCATTTTGGACGGATGTGTGATAACAAGTGGACGGTTACGGATTGATTTTTTTCAATCCGCTTAATTTCGGAGGAATGGCGGATTTGAGATTTCTTAAGCCGCAACCGAACTATCAATCCGTGAACACCCCTAATAATTTGTAAAACTTTGTGTATTCAATTTGTGTAGATATTATGTTTGTGTTTTCAATGGAAAAAAAGTTTAGATATTCTGTTGTGTTTTCAATTTGGAAATCTTTTTATCAAATGGTAAAGATTGATATTTGATATTTTTGTGTGAAAAATATAAGGTTTAATTTTGTCATTTTTTTAAAATCAAATTAAATAGCTTTTGAATAAAAAAAAAGTAATGAAATAGTTTTGATAATGCATGATTTTCTTGTATGTATTTATTATTGTTATATCTTTTGGTTATGTTGAGTTGAATTATTGTCCAAAAAAAAAATGTTGACAAGTTGTTGCATTATGTTCAAAATTTGTAAAAGTTTAAACCGCCAAACCGATTCGTATCCATCTGTCTATCCGCCAATTCGCTCAATCCGCATCCTTCAATTCGGCGGACGAATGCAGATTAATTTTTTTCAATCCGCCTATTCGGCGGACGGATGGCAGATTAGAGTTTTTCTGGCCACAACTGAATCGTGAATACTCTTAAATATCACGTCATACCCGCTGCATTAGAATACCTTTTGAAAATAATAGGACCTATGTGTTCATAAAAAAGAAAAAAAAAAAACAAGATTTATGAGTATGCATGATTCTGAAACGAGACTTGAGGATAAATTTTGGCGACTATTTTATTCTATAATTTAGGCCTCGTTTGAGAACATGCTAATTTAGTACTTTTTTGGCTATTTGGCTAAAATATGAGTTAAAAAAACTAATATGTTTGGGATGACTTTTTAGCTTTTTACGAAAAAATGTGCAAAAAGTAAAGAGAAAAGAGAATCTTTGACTTTTTGGTATGGATTGTTGATTTTTTGGCTAATTTGTAACTTTTTGACTTTTTAGCTAAAATGGAGGGTTCCCAAACGAGACCTTAATCCCCATAGAGTTACAATTTCACTATTTCTATTTCACATTCCCCTAACATACAATAATCCAACATATATTAAATTTATAGTCTAATAAAATTCCTTCTCATTTGGCAACTACATATTTTCGATAAAAATTCATAAAGTCATTATAAATTGTCACATTATTTTTTCTATTTTTTTTACATTTTTTTTTTTTAAAATAAAAAAATTATCAAAATAATCTATTCTTAAATGAGGCTTAACCCTCAACCAAATAAATTGACCCCATAATAAATTAGACATAAAATCCAAACCCACCATGAATATGTGGGTGTTTGGGAAGTGAGTTTTTGTGTAGGTTTTTTTAGTTGTATGATATTATTTAAAAAATATTTTTTGGTGTTTGGAAAGATAGATAGATTTTTTTGTGGATGAATGTGATATTTGTGAAAGAAAAAATAAAATGATTATGAAGTTTGATATGATATTTTATTTAGATTATTTTTTTTGATTTTGTAAAAACTGTCTTTTAGTAAAAAAAAAATAAAAAAAAACCCCAAAACTAAATCTTGCCAAACACCAGCGGCCCATGCCTTCTATTTATGAAAATTGAATTTTCATTAATTACGAGTATATAATATGACACAATTTAATTCAATTATTTAAAGCCCTCAATATTCCACGTTTCGCAGCACGTGGTTTCCTAGATTTTTAACAAACTTTCATGGATTCATAGGCAAACAACACGGTGCCGTTTGGTAACACTTATGTTTTCAGTTTTCTGTTTATATTTACAAAAATTTTAAAAACTGAAATAAAAACTTGTTTGGTAAAATTTTTGATTTATAAATCAGTGGTCTCAAACGACGTCGTTTTGGCCATTTGAGCCACTTTTGAGCCACAAAATTTGAGTTACGAGACATTTTCCTAAAAAAAAAACCCCAAAACTAAATTTTGCCAAACACCAGCGGCCCATGCCTTCTATTTATGAAAATTGAATTTTCATTAATTACGAGTATATAATATGACACAATTTAATTCAATTATTTAAAGTCCTCAATATTCCACGTTTCGCAGCACGTGGTTTCCTAGATTTTTAACAAACTTTCATGGATTCATAGGCAAACAACACGCGTTCCTAATCAGCGCAACTACAATGTCACTCTTTATTTTTTATTATTTAAAATATAAAAATAATATAACTTTTATTTTATTTAATTACTCTTTGGAAAATGTTAGAGGTCTCAAATTTTCTACTAAATAAATGATCAAATGTCTCACATGGGTGTGGGGTCCACAAAATTGCAGACCCCACACCATGTGAGACATTTGGTCATTTGTTTGGTTGAAAATTTGGTGTCCTCTAGCATTACTCTCTTTGAATTGTTAAACTTACTCTCTTTGAATTGTTAAACTTGGCCAAGTTTAACAATTTAAAAATAATTCATCTTTTTTTCATTATATCACCTCTCTATTTTTATGCACATCTTTTCATAAAAAAAATAAAAAATACACTTATTTAGATCATCCTAAACAACTCCTTAATTTATACAAATTTTATTAGAATAATTATCATAATAACTAGCTTAATAAATAAAATAATATAAAAGTAGTTATAAATTATAATAATTCACAAGTCTCTTCTTGGAGATGCTCTTACGACGCCGTTCCTACCACCACATGTTTCCTTCTAATATAACTTTTATTTTATTTAATTACTTTTTAGAAAATGCTAGAGGTCCCAAATTTTCTACTAAATAAATGATCAAATGTCTCACATGGGTGTGGGGTCCACAAAATTGCGGACCCCACACCATGTGAGACATTTGGTCATTTGTTTGGTTGAAAATTTGGTGTCCCTAGCATTACCCTCTTTGAATTGTTAAACTTGGCCAAGTTTAACAATTTAAAAATAATTCATCTTTTTTTCATTATATCACCTCTCTATTTTTATGCACATCTTTTTATAAAAAAATAAAAAATACGCTTATTTAGATCATCCCAAACAACTCCTTAATTTATATAAATTTTATTAGAATAATTATCATAATAACTAGCTTAATAAATAAAATAATATAAAAGTAGTTATAAATTATAATAATTCACAAGTCTCTTCTTGGAGATGCTCTTACGACGCCGTTCCTACCACCACATGTTTCCTTCATAATCCCCCCAACCAACATTTACCCGATTCCTATTCTCTCTCTCTCTCAAGTCCCAACTCTCTGAGTCCACGCTGCGCAGACCATGGCTAAACCTTTCCTCATCCTTTCTCTCTCTCTCCTCTTCCTCTTCCTCTTCCTCTTCCCTCTCTCCTCTTCAAACCCTAACCCTAACTCTAACTCATCGTCAAAGTCGCCACCGCTAACCGCCCACGCGGAGCTCACCAACTACGGCTTCCCGGTCGGCCTCCTCCCCACCAACGTCCTCGGCTACACCATCAACACCACCTCCGGCGACTTCGCCGTCCACCTCGGCGACAACTGCAAGATCACCCTCCCTCCTGACAACTACCTCGCCACCTACTCCAAGCACATCACCGGCAAGATCGTTGCCGGCCGCATCGCCGACATCAACGGTATTAGGGTTAGGGCTTTCTTCCAGTGGTGGTCCATCACCGGAATCAAATCCAGCGGCGATGATTTGGTCTTCGAGGTCGGTGTGGTCTCCGCTAAGTATCCCTCCAACAACTTCGGCGAGAGTCCCGACTGCGAGGGCAAGCGTGCTTCTTCTTGACCTCTCCACATGTTTTTCAGGTTCGGTTTTTCTAATCCCGCTATTTGTTTTTGATTTAGGGATTTAAGTTGTATATGTTGATTGATCTGAGAGTAGAGATGTGTTTTAGCTGTTCATTTCTGTGAATTTGAGATGAGGATTAAAGTGTTGTTGCTTTCAGAGAAAGTTTGGTTGCATTGACCAATCAAGTACTTTTAACTGGGTCTGGAAATAACTTGAGTTGAGTCTGTAACTTGAATTGCATATTATTGATTATGACTTTGTGCTACATTACTTTCCATGGCTGGTGCATTCAGGACGGATCGAGGATTCGAACTTTGGGGGAAAAAAATACACGTAACTCTTTATTCTAACTCTATCGAAAAAAATTATTATAAAAGTTTTAAATTTTGATTTATACGGGCACAAAGAATTGAATAATATTACTATTATTCTAACATTCTTTGTCAATATAATTGAGAACAAAAATATAATCACCACTTTTTGTAGTATATATAAAAACATATATGATAGACTCATTGTCAAAACCTTAAGTACTATATTTCTCCAATCAAATAACTTGTTACAAAATCATCTTATATCCTATAATGCAATTTAGTTTTGAAAATTTTCATAGTTGAAAATGTATGTTTTAAGAAGTGATAATTCATTCCAATAAATGGTATTTAATTTTATGAACTCAATTTTAAGAATGACATGCACTTTAACTGGGTCTGGAAGTAAATTGAGTCTGTAACTTGAGAGTTGCATGTTATTGATTATGACTTCGTGCTACATTACTTCCATGGCTGGTCCATTTGCGTATGTGTGTCTATGATGTAGGCTTAATTTCCCTTTAAACTACCACCATTTTTTTCTGCTTGATCCTTAAACTATCAATTTCATGATTTTAGTTCCAAAAGTTTATAATTTCAGTTCATGTAATCCAATCGGTGATGATTGAATAAATCAGTAACCTGTTATTAGAAGCCTAATTTGATGTTCAAAATGATCAATTCAAAATTTGAACAATTTTAACAATGTCAAACTATTTTGTGGGGTGTAGTTTGGTCAAAATAGTAACAAAAATGAGTGTTTGGTTGTATGGTTTATGTTGTTCAAGTTTTGATTCAATCACCCTCTGCATTGCTAGAATCCTTAAGTTTGTTATTTTTATTGCATTTAAAAAGAAAATTATGGAAAGTAACGATCGATGAAACTGAGGTTTTTTATCTAGTGGACAGTCTGGATTAATAGGGCACACACAATGTTGCCACTGACAATTTGGTGGTATTTGTAAATTATTGTTCCAAAGCTGTGTTTTTTATGGTTTCAGTGAATGTTTTACCATTTCTTTTTGTCTTTAAGCTTCAATTTAGGATGCGAAATTTGTTTTGTATTGGTGGAAAGAATTATTTAAGCTTGTTTACTTTGTGGTTTTTGTTTGATTTGTTTGTGGCTATTATGCCCTTTCTTGTCATTTTTTTAAGTAACCAAAAGGCATACGCACTTTAATTGTGGTGGGTTTGTTTTCTTTTGTCTGAATGGAGTATGGCCTCCTATGAAGCACGGGTACTATAAAAATGGTACTGTACGAGTACCGGATACTAACCGGGTGCGGATACACTTACCAGTATGGCGGTACCAGTATCGGGTATGCCGAATACATGTCGGGTACGACAAATATATTTGGGTACGTCGTGGATACAACATGGGTATGTTGTGGGTACGGCACCGGTACGGCAAGGTGATTTTTTGAATTATTTTTTTTTTTTTTTTTTTTTTGTAGTTGATAGAATTTATTGCAGCCTTTAGTATTCTTCTTTCAATTTTAAAAATATTAAGTAATTTATTTCCAATACCTTTTACCCTTGAATCCTGGTTTTGCTCTCTTTTGCATCTTATTTTGGACAATCAAAAAAGAAAAAAAAGAATTACATAAATTTTTAAACAAGTTTTCTCTTTGTAATTTTGATATTGAAATTTTGATTTGTAGGTTGGATGTTTAGCTATAAATTTTATTTAAAAAAAATTTGGTGTATCCCAGCCGTTCCTGTCCTCTACTTTTTTAAAAATGTGTCGTATCATACCCACCCATAACCCGCACCTGTGCTTCATGGATGGCCTCCTTTAAAGTATGTTAATTTATTTGATCTTTTCCATTCAATTATGGATTGTTGTGTAATTATATATGATTCTATCTATGTACTTGTCAAAAAAAAAAAAAAAAGATTCTATCTATGACGTTGATTTCTTATCCTACTTTCAATTCCCTTTTGTTGTATGGCTTTTGCTGTCATTAACAGAATATTACTTTTTCTCTGAAAGGATTTGGAATCTCAAGGTAGCAGGTGTTTATCAAGCTGCTGTTAACTTTTTTTTCTTTTTGATAAGTAAGATGTAATTGTAAAGGCATCCAAGTGATGCTACCTATATACATGAACAAATAATACCTATGCAAAAACAAAAAGGCGATACAATCTCACAATCTTCAAACTTCTTTATAAAATCCAAAAACAATCCTCAACCATTGGGTTCAAAATCATGGATTTAACCCATCTACACATGCCACTGTTAGTTTATATATTATCAATAAACTTAAATGCTCTGAAGCTTTCACTGTGTCTAAAGAATTCAGTGTATAGGTTTACTAAATTATTTGTTTGTTGACTTTTAATTTTGCTTTTATTGCTTTGTTCAATAACTGTAAGCTTTATTAATTTCTTGATGAGATTGGATATGCTTGCATGTTCTATGGAAGTTTGATAATTAAAAGGTATTGTATGTTTGTTGTATGAATCTATGATCTTAATATTCCATTACCTAGGATAGCTATTAATTGGACTCTTCACCATCTATTCTGTCATGACTCCGTTGCCTGTACTCTCTGGTATTGTATGTGAGATATCTTATCATGGTTATAATTTTTTGTCATTTTTTTGGGGTACATTGGAATACAAACACAACTCCCAAAGTGGGATTGAAGCCCTAAACCCACAAATAAGTAGTGAGATGTGAAGGTTCTTGTCAATTGGGTTAGCCCTGTTGGTTGGTTGTGTTGTTCAGTTCAATTTCATATTTAACCAGTTGCTAAATGAAGGTATTAGGATTTGATTGCACATTGTTATGTGGAGAAATGCTATTTATCTTCAGATTTATTTCACCACTTTGTTTCCGTTCTTATATTATCTGTATTGATGCAATTAAAGTGATGTTGTATATAAATGACCTACTATATTTAAAAAATAGTGGAACTTACCACACTGCACAGGAAATTATATAGGAGATGAAGAGTTTTATGGAACTTAGTATCAGAGTGATTGAACTGTGTGGCTGGTCAAGTTAGTCGTTCTAAAATCAGTATTTATCATCACAAATTTTAAACTGGGTGATCCTTACCAAACTCGACAGCAGGCAAGATTAATAGATTCTGGAGAATGGCCTACAAGTTTGGATGTTGCCGTGAAAACAAAGTTATGGCTTTTAGAAACTAGAATAAGAATTTTAATGAGTTCCATGATTATGAGCATTAACAAGTGCTTATCAAGCTTGGTCTTTTGGGAAGTGGGTTATAATCCACTTCCCAGATTATAACCCACTTCCTCCTCTCACAAAAAGCTGATTATAATCAGCTTTTAATCAACTTTTAACCAAAAAGCTGATTATAACCATCTTTCCAAAATAGTCCAGACTGCGATACTTGGACTATATTACTTATTAATGTTATTCACAAAAACAAAAAAGATGATGTATGTAGATTTTCTGAAGATGATCTTTAGAAGATATTGTTTGATTTGTCTATGAAATTCTTTTGCTTTGTAGTGTTGATACAACTTTTATTTCCTGTCATTGCATGGATTTGTTTTTCTCCGTTTGGGTGTGAAATTACTATGCTCTGCCACTTGCATAGTCACCCGTGAACTTATCCTGTTTCCTTCTCTTGCAGATCTTTCAGTGCCTGCTTTCATGGATTAAATTATGGAATAATTCCCACTGGTAAGTTAAGGCATGAAGTACTAAGCAAATATGATGCATTAATAGGAATTTATGTTATTTGAACATTAAGGGTTATTGCCTGGTTAAGAATGTTTCCTATTTTGTGTGTATTGTATATATGCTCTGTAGTTCCTCCACTGGTGCTACTGTCTCTCTGTGTTGTTTTAAGATGTTTTACCCTATTCCTCTGATACTCTTTTGCTTGTAATACTTTTAATATTTTGGAGTTTTTGAAGTGCATAATTATTCGCCGTAATGGCAGCGAAGGATTATTGTAGTAGATAATGGCACTAGTGGTGGTAGTAGAACTATTATCTGTTGCTGGTCGTTGTCAGGCAAGTTGGAAATTACTCTTAGAGGCAAAGCATGTAGTTGGGGTCTTAGGGCCACCACATGCCTCATTTCATTGATCAAAGTGTTCATCTTTTAGAAAAATATCATATTGATGTGATAATTGTAGTTAGATGAATATTCTATTTTGTTTTTAATAATTGAATGGTCTATTTTTAACATCATATATTTTTCGAAAGACATTTATAATAGAATCATTTGGTTACAATTATCGGATCAATTTAAATTCCCTAACAATGATCTACACAAAGGGATTCATGAAATGCCGATAAAATAAAAAGAAAAAAGAAAAAAAAGGGATTCCTGAAATGAACATTCAGATCTTCAAAGTGAGATGTGTGATTGTGCCACACTCAAATTGGAAAAATTATCACATAGGTCTGCCCTTTCAATTTTATTAGTTATATACTCACTATTTTCTATGTTTTTTTTCCTATGTATGGCATAAAGCAACCAATAGAATTAGGATATACAACTTAGAATTTCTGAAAGACAGAATAGTTTTCCTCAAATTGAGATAAGCAAGTCGCTTATCTAACATGGTTTTTGCAGTTTTTCTTTCAAACTATCTAGATTATTGTCCAAAATCATTGTGTGCAATATTAATAGTATATGTATCAAAACATTTGAAAGCAAAGGCTCCAATCGTGTACTCAGTTTTAATGCATTTTAAATGAGGCATTCAATTAGGGAGGAGAAGAATACATAGTTCGTTGGCCATGTTTGTTTTTCAGGTTAGATTAGGTGAGATGAGATTATGAGTATGGTATTAAAATCGATGGCAAGAATTATGGCCATGTTTGTCAGATTATGTGAGATTATGAGTATGGTTGAACTACGTGATGAGATTATTAATGTAATGGTATTAAGTTGGAGATTTAATATAATTTGTGTTTGTTTATGTAGTAATATGTTGGGATTAGTTAGTTGGGATTAAATCTATTAATTTAGAATAAAGTTCTACGTATTAATTGGTATGTCAATTGGTATACTAACGGATGATGAGGCATAATTTTAGAGGTTTTTGGTCTTTGTAGTTCGGATAATGGGTGAGGTCTGTAGTTTTAAAGTGATAATATCATAACATAGGTTGGTACATTAATTGATATATCAGAAGTACCATTAATTAATTTATGTTAAAGTTCATATTGTTATTTTGGAAAATTAAGAGCACATCCCTTTATATGTTTTTGTTAGAGTTCTAGGCCACTAAAAGTTTATTTATTTGTTTATTTTAGTTGAGATTGCACGATTTGAATTTAGAAGAAAAAATACCTTAATGATCAAAAAGTAACTTAATAATTCTAAAAAGCCTAGAACTTTATTTTATATATATATATATATACTATATGTATACACACTCATAATTCGTCATTGTAATTAAATATGAGCCACAAACTCTAATGTATATGTACTCAAAAACAAATGAAGAGTCTCATATCTATACTATATATTAAGTAAAAAGGGGTTTTTAACCCCAAGACTTGTGAGAGTTTTAATATCTCAATTTGAATTTTTTAAATTTTTTATTTAAAAAAAAAACTCAGTATTTATTGATTTGGTCAAAATCTCCTGATCAGCATTTATTATTTTTTTTTAATCTACAAGTCTTTCCACATGCCTGCATTTATTAATTTGGTCAAAATCTCCTAATCAACATTTAAAATTCCCTCATACAAATAATTATAGATACAATCTATGTATAGTTACTGCAGTACCATTTTCAATTTCTTTCATACATTATGATTAGTGATCAGATTGTTAAATTATTTTTATAAAAAATCTTAAAAAACATAATTTATATATTAAAAAAAATCTAAAACAAATATAAATATTTATAATTATTCCGTGCATAACACGGGTGATAGGTTAGTTAAATATAATAATAAATCCATTATAATTCATCACCTTTCACATGATACACTCAAACTTTTTACAGTTCATCATATTACATTATTATGTAATCTGTAATTACACTTTATGATATGATATATGTATACACATAAATACACAACAATATGTATATATAATTTTAATATTAAAATAACATTAGTGCATCTATGCACCAACAATCTCTCACTAATTTTAGGTCAAGTTTGGCTATCCTAAATAAGTACACACTTTTTATCTTTTTTTCATCACATCATCTCTCTACTTTTCTGCACATCTTTTTGTAAAAAGACAAAAAGTACACTTATTTAGGTCATCCCAAACAACCCCTTAATATTAAAAATAGACACATATATTATCAGACAAAGAGGGATATTATCCATCATGAAAGTATGCTCTGCATTGAACCCCCACTACCGAAATAGTGATCTCTACTCCAGAGTCAGTAGTAGTCTCAGACTTGAACTATGACTGCTTAAAGGAAATAAAGTATCACTGTCCACACATAATAATTTAGGTTTTGACATAAGCTTTGATGGTTAGCACGTTATGGCCTTGTGTTGATCTTAGTCTTTCAGGAGTGTATTTCAGAAATAAGCCCAAATCTCATAGAAAACAACCTTACTTTCACACACATATGAAATCTGTCAAAGGTGCTCCTGCATTCTGACACCCCATTCATAAAGAGCTATAGCTTTTTATTAAGAGTTTAAAAACTCAACCTTCCAAACATTACAGGATAAATGCACTCACACCATAGGGATAGACAAAAAATAAATAAATTTATTTAGTGCATTTCTTACAACCACCATATGACTCGTTCTTCCCATTGAACCTGATCATATGATCTCTATTTCCTAGGTTGGGTATCCTCATACGTAGTTATTGCGTTTGTACGGGCTTAGTCTTATTATCTGATGTAATATATCAAGGCAGTTTTTTAAAACAATTTTGCAAATTGATCACAAAATTAATATTTTTCAAAGATAATATATTTAAACGCACAATCACACAAGTCTGGATCTACCATTATAAAAATGATCACTTCTATTAAAAATTTAAGTGCTTTCATAATCATTCACAAATGTGAAATGGTTTCTCAAAAATTTAATTTCATCAAAAAATTTCTTAACCATTCACCTTTTCAGTTGTTACAACTAGCAATCTATATAATAAAGCATGATGGTTTTTGAATTTATCCTACACACATTTGTCTTACTAGGACATTTAGATGGTTCAGATCTATTCAAATTATAAAACAACGGCTGAGATATATTTTTCAAAAAATATCCTATGTATACATTTTTTATTTTCCCGCTTCTCTCTCTTACTTTTTCATTTTCTCACACATCATTTCATGATCCCATAATCCCACATTCCTCTCTCTTTTCTTTTTATTTTTTTTTATTTTCTCTCATTTTTATTTGTCTCTCTATTTGTTTTTTTTTATTTTTTATTTTCTCCTTTTTGTTCACTTATTTTTATTCATATTATATGGAAAAGTTTGCGATCCCAGAATTAGGAACCAGATTTTACTGTGTGTAGTAGAGATTAAATTAATGAATTTTATAGTCCACAAATTAAATGAATTTGAACAATTAATTATTATTTTTCAATATATTAAATACCAGATAGACTTCGTAAATTTAGACCTCATATGAATTTTCAACATCTATATAATAAAGCAAGATGGTTTTTGAATTTGTCCTACACACATTTGTTCTACTAGGACATTTGGAAGACTCAAATTTATTCAAAATATAAAACAATGATTGAGATATATTTCTAAAAAATGTTCTAAACATATACATTTTTTATTTTCCTGCTTCTCTCTCTCTTACTTCTTCCTTTTCTCACACCCCTCATTCCATGATCTCATGATCCCGCATTCCTTTCTCTTTTCTTTTTATTTTTTTTTATTTTCTCCCGTTTTTATTTTTCTCTCTATTTGTTTTTTTTCCCCTCATTTTTGTTCAATATATTTTACACATATTTCTATACAATGTATGTATGTCCGTAATATACTAGGACATTACGGGCATACATACAATTTCTATATAATTATATAAGCAAAAACAGTATTGTATGTATGCCCGTGGAAATTGTATGTATGTTAGGCACATCTATCTATCTAGTTATATATTATATAAGCAAAAGCGAGTTTTCGTGAAGAGTTTTGTGAGAACTCCAAAATTTAATAATAAATTTGTAATTTTATCAAATTAAAAAATAAATTAAAATAGTGTTGGGATTACAATTATATTCTAAATCTAATATTATTTACACCGTGCCATCAGGTATGAACATACGCTAGTAATTAAATATAGTGCAGACCGCCCCGAACTCGCTCTACGCGCGAGGGTGCGAATTGGGTTCATCGCTACTACAGTTCGGACTCCTGTCACGGTTTTGAATCTAATCTCACAAAGTGCAATGTAAGACTGATAAATCACCAAAGAGTCCAAATCCGGCAAATCGTTTTGGAAAATCGATTTTAACCAAAAAGCACCAAACATGGACTATTTTGCCAGATTTCAGAGTCACCGCCTAAATATTTTATTTTGGGAAATTTAGGAAACCCTGACTCGTGCCTAAGGCTATGTGTCCGTCATCACTAAAGTTGCTTCGGCTCTGGAACTTAGGTACAAGAGGGAAAGGTCCTGAAATGAGCACCCTCCCTCGCCCGATCAAAGATCGGCCTCTACTAACATGATATGCTGTTTTTGAAAACACATGTGTTCTTATTCCGGTTATTAGTTTAGAATTACTATGTGATGTGTACAACATACAAGTATAGACTAAATCACTTAATTTGGAACAAAACATCTCATGTTTATTTGTGAAAGTGGTTTGAAAGTGCTACTCGCAAGTAGGCTAAAACGCGTATTTGCCACTCTCAAGTGGGCTTTAAAACAACATGATTTTGCCACTCCGCAAAGTATGCTTAAAACGCACATTTTGATGAATTGTCCCAATTCAAGTAATAAAGCCTTCATCCACAGGCATTCATGCAATTAAACACTTAAGCGGTTAGCCTCATGGCAAGCATGCTATCATGATAGTCACTTACACACATGCAAGGATGC